AGGACATCGTTGTTAACTGGATGAACTGCCTCCGTTACGTTAATCTTTTCAATCTCAAAGGGAGTGAAAGTGGCTCCTAGAATAGCAGCCAGTGAAACCAAGTGTGAAGGGTTTTAAATGAATGTATTTCAATGGTATCTAACTTCCAAAACATCTGAATTGTGATAAAATCATGACGTGATTTTTGTTCCATCTCGCCCACCCCTATCTTAAATTAGGGATGTGTAGCTTAACCCTTACAACTCCTTTAAAGGTGTGGAGTAGGGGTTGCAACAACGAATCAATAAAATCAATGAAGAAATGTGTTGGCATTTTGTTATTGTTGTGTTGTGTTGCCCAACCTTTATTTAACAGTCAATGCAATCAGCTCACGTGTAGGAGGCAGCAGAGCAGACCGAGGCAGATCAGAGTGAGAGAGAAAGCCAAGGTTTGATGAGGAACGACGCACCATGAGCTGAAACAGAAACCAACGACACGAGGATAGAAACGGTTTGGGAACTAAAGTGCAACTAAGGGCAGGTTAGCTAATGCTAGCGGGTAGCAGGTTCACGATCAAGCGGGTTAAAAAACACGATGGTCGTGAAACTAAGAACATCTAAACTCTACAAGCAGAAGAACAGACCTCCATCCTGTTTATTCTTAGCTAACTGCAGCGCTACAAGCAGAACCGCTGCTTCCATGTTGGAGTGTGCTCTGCTAAACGCCGCAGCAGGGTTAAGGCAAGTCACTGTAGCATGTAATCTATAAACACGTCTATCTATGAACATAATTTAAACTGCCACGCCACGCCACAGACTCCGTTGTTGTCAGGAAGTTAAGAAAAAAGGCGGACGTGTTTCGTAAATCCTGCATAAGCGAGGCAATTTCTTTCCATTTTTATTCCATTTTAGTAGCCATTAACAGAGCACCATGTTGTGTGCATCAGTTCGGTCTACCAGGACATCATGCAATGACAAATGTTCCGCCTTGCTTGAAATGCAACTTGTCATTAAATGTGTAAAGTTTTTAGCGCGTCATTTCTCCCCTAATTAATTCATTATAATTAACGCGTTAAAGTCGCACCCCTAAAATAAAGTAAAGGAAGGAGAGAAAAAAATGTCCTTAGCAGTTTTTAAATGTTCCCGTTTAATACGATTAATCGAGTCGAGACCCTGTACGATTCATCGATGATCCAAATAATTGTTTGTTGCAGCCCTAAAGTGGAGCATTAAAAACATTTTTTAATGATTAATTCTGATTCTAACGGGTCACATTGAATGTTTCATGGAGGCTGAACATGATAATAGTCTCCTACATCTACCTCCTGCTTTGGCCTCTGATAGAAAATAGTCTCCTACACCTATCTCCTTCAGTAGCTTCTGATAAATAAAAGTCTCCTGCACCTATACCCTGTTTCTGCTTCTGATAGAAAATAGTCTCCTACACCTATCTCCTGCTTTAGCTTCTGATAGTAAATAGTCTCCTACACCTATCTTCTTCAGTAGCTTCTGATAGAAAGTAGTCTCCTACACCTATCTCCTGCTTTAGCTTCTGATAGTAAATAGTCTCCTACACTTATCTCCTGTTTTTGCTTCTGATAGTAAATAGTCTCCTACACCTATCCCCTGTTTTTGCTTCTGATAGAAAGTAGTCTCCTGTACCTATCTTCTGCTTTAGCTTCTGATAGTAAATAGTCTCCTACACCTATCCCCTGTTTTTGCTTCTGATAGAAAATAGTCTCCTACACCTATCTTCTGCTTTAGCTTCTGATAGAAAGTAGTCTCCTACACCTATCTCCTGCTTTAGCTTCTGATAGTAAATAGTCTCCTACACCTATCTCCTGCTTTAGCTTCTGATAGTAAATAGTCTCCTACACCTATCTCCTGTTTTTGCTTCTGATAGAAAATAGTCTCCTACACCATACTCCTGTATAGCTTCTGATAGAAAGTAGGTGTAGAAGACTATCTCCTGCTTTAGCTTCTGATAGTAAATAGTCTTCTACACCTATCTTCTGTGCAAGCTTCTGATAGAAAATAGTCTCCTACACCTATCTCCTGCAGTAGCTTCTGATAGAAGATAGACGGTGAAACTTTAGGATTAGAAAAGCCTGACAGATCTACGTCACGTTGTCACTTAACTAGGGCTGAAACAAATCTTTGAATGATGGTTTGATTCGTTAAATTACTCCATTCATTTTTTACTGGCTCGAAGCGTTGATAAATGTGCACACCACAGTCTGAACATATTTCCTGGTGCACTACATGGTAATCCTGGTGCTGTGGAGCAACGTTGAGAAACCAGCAAAGACAGAAACTACTGTAAAAGGCAGGATCCGTCTAAAGTTGGGATCAAGATTTAAACTAGGGGCCAATTAGATAATGCTTAGCTAATGCTTAGCTAGCACGTAACACGTTCACGATCAAGTGGAGTTCAGAAAAAAACGTGGTGGTTGAATGACTAAACCCTACAAGTGGAAGAAAAACCCCACCACCTGGAGTCTGGTTGTTGCCACTGAGAGTTAGGGCAGTTCTACGGCAAGCCGTTGTCGCATGTAATTCACAAACGCTTTTATATTTCAATAAAATTTAGACTGCATTATGTAGCAACAGTTCATAATAAAACAGATATGCCTCACATAGGTGAGGCTGTGCTTAAAGAATACCAAACAAGGCATGAACAATAAAACAGTGAGTGAGGTATGAAGGTGAACACTAAAACGTGTCAAAACTGCTACTTGCACCACCGACGGGTTAGTCTTTGCTCTGATGAGGCATTCTGCTAGTTCTGAAATATAATTCCAAAATAAGTGAAGACCAGAAAAACGAGCTCACTCTGTTGGTTAAAAGGTCCTGATGGTGCATAGTAGGTAGAAGTACAAGAACACACACACACACACACACACACACACACACACACACACACACACAGACAGAGTGATCACGTAATTAAAGACTCATACAGCTAAAATAATAATCACGTTACAAAATCACTTCAGCAGCAGTCGTTCCACAAACCAGAAGGAAACGTGGGGTCGGTTAAACAGCACACACAAACAAGCGTCAGGCCTGTCCTCCAGCATCAGCTGCTGCTGGTGTCTGAAGGAGACTGTGTTATTTAGAAATCTAGACAAACCTTAACAAAAGAACAAAAGGAATGGCACTCCACTGACACCGCTCAGGCATCATCTTTGGACGATTTAGGCCAGGGATCTTGTTCATGTAGTACTACTGTAATAGCTGTAGTAAGTGCTCCCTAACACCATGCATTTACCTACTGCTAACCCTGCTGTGTGTGCCTCGTCTTTGCTGCTTCTGGCGCTGAGCTGTACCCGGCACCAGGGCGAGACAGCGTCTTTTTGGTTCTAAATGTGGACTGCATTACCCGTATTGGACCACATGATGTCATCCGTACTTGCACCTTACATTACTGGTCTTATGAAGGAAAGGTGGATCGCAGCGCTACAGGAAGTGAAAACCAATCTAAAAATGGGTTTCTCATTAGGGGATGTGTGCGGGTGGCGGGTCACACGGCCACCCGACCTAATTCAGGTGTTGGGCGTGACTCTAGAGAGAAAATCCAAAGCCTTCAGGAGGATTAAAACATCTTAATTAAGAACATAAAAGAAGACAAGACTCCATTTGACTCCTGTACCCCGGTGGACTAGACAGCTAACCTCTCTGTTCATTTCCCGTAAAGAACGTAGGATGTCCATGGTAACCCCCTGATTGGAGGAGAAGACAGCATATCCTGTTGGCTACAGAGCTCTGCTTTCTGGGTTAAGCACATATTTCCTGTTTTGTGGGAGGAAGTGGACACACCTCGTGTCTTTGTTCCCGACCTCCCCAGGAGCCCACAAGAGCTGACTTCCTGTACCCTTAGAGCACTTCCTGTTTGTGAGAAGAGAGTTCCTGTGAGTCGCATCTGGGTAGAAACTGTGCGATGGTTCTCTGATGTCTCAGACCAGTCCGGTCCCCCTGGTGATGCTGCTGTCAGCACACCAGGCTGTTGTGGCAACAAGGACACCTGCATGTCAGCAAATGTCCCATCTCTGGGACCTGCAGCTAGCCTGAACCAGTAGCTACAAACTCCCCCAGTGTCCCCCAGTCTCGTCCTCTGGTGAGATGTCCTCCAGAGAGACACGAAACTACATGTTCTTCCAGGAAAGGTGGACAAATGACCTCAATGTGTCCAACAGGACCATCTGTCAGCATGCAGGTACAAATAGGGACGAAATGACACTTAAACAAGGGGACTGCAGAGACATGGGAGGACAGCAGTGACTGGGGACACATAGACAGACAGGAAGGACAGCTGAGACTGGGGACACATAGACAGACAGGAGGACAGCAGAGACTGGAGACACATAGACAGACAGGAGAACAGCAGAGATACAGGAGGACAGCAGAGACTGGGGACACATAGACAGACAGGAAGGACAGCAGAGACTGGGGACACATAGACAGACAGGAAGGACAGCAGAGACTGGGGACACAGACAGACAGGAGAACAGCAGAGATACAGGAGGACAGCAGAGACTGGGGACACATAGACAGACAGGAGGACAGCAGAGACTGGGGACATATAGACAGACAGGAGGACAGCAGAGACTGGGGACACATAGACAGACAGGAAGGACAGCAGAGACTGGGGACACATAGACAGACAGGAGGACAGCAGAGACTGGGGACACATAGACAGACAGGAGGACAGCAGAGACTGGGGACACATAGACAGACAGGTAAACAGCAGAGACTGGGGACACATAGACAGACAGGAGGACAGCAGAGACTGGGGACACATAGACAGACAGGAGGACAGCAGAGACTGGGGACACATAGACAGACAGGAGGACAGCAGAGACTGGGGACACACACACAGACAGGAGGACAGCAGAGACTGGGGGCAAATGCTGGTTCAGTAAAAACAAGCAGGTGAGTCAAGTTTGGATCCACGGGACCATCAGAAGCAGAACCCGTCCAAACTGTGACCTAACCCAAAGCCCAGAAGGAAGTGGTCCCGACCTGAGAGCAGCAGCAGCAGCAGCGTGGCTCTGGGATGGACCTTCATGCTTCTTCTCATCAGACTTTCCAGGTTCGGGTCCTAACAGGCTCTCCGGACAGGAACAGCAGACTGGTCGGGTCTTGTGTCTCTGCGTGTCCCCTCATGACGGGCGGGGAGGGGAGGACCGGAGCCGCTCCACCTTTCGCTTCTTCAGTCCGCTTCAATCTGCATTGGTTTCCGCTTAAGAACTTCAAAATAAAGCTGCGACAGCGCCGGCTCACTACCGTGATTTTATTTTGAAAGCAAAGACGATTTCCGTCTCATCTTTTTGGTCTGCTTTGGTTCTACTTGACACACCTGTACCTGTTCGCAGCCAGGACCAACTTCAAGGTCAGCGGTCAGCCCTTAGTCCAGTACCGACAGAACCAGGACAGGAAACAGTAAAAGGTCCAAGGACACCAGGTCCTGGTTCTGATGGATCCCACCAGCTGAGCCCTCGCGTTGTTGTTGGCCCACACTGGTTCTAACTGGACTGGTTTCCTGAACAAAACAATTTGGATCCCACTGGGATCATCCCAGAGGTGTCTGATTCCACCTGGTCCTGGTGCAGACAGCTGCAGTCCATGAGATCTGCTCTTCCCACAGGCGTTCATGCACATGTAGCCCCCTTCTGGCCACCAGGGGAATGACATGGCTGTCCCCATGAATAAAGCATCTAAGGCTGGTTCTGTCTGGTGGTGTGATGTCCTCCAGACCAGTGTCACCCACTGCCCTTCAGCTGAAGAGTCCCCAAAGGTAGAAGGTAAAAGTGATTAATAAATGAAAACCACCCCTTAACGCTGAACCATGTCTCACTTCCTGTCTGGCACAGGTGAATGCTTTACCTTCATGTGAAAGTGGAGCGCGCCGGCTTGGCCGAGGCCTCAGGCCTGTCCGGCAGCAGCTGCAGCCCTGCTCTGGGGGTGTTTTGTCTTTTCATTAATAAAAGCTGCATTTGGGTCGGAACCGCCCTCTACTCGTTCCTTCTGTTGGTCACATAGCAGCTGAGCTGTGCTGTGCTGTGCTGTGCTGTGTGTGTGTGTGTGTGTGTGTGTGTGTGTGTGTGTGTGTGTGTGTGTGTGTGGGTGTGTGTGTGTGTGTGTGTGTGTGGGTGTGTGTGGGTGTGTGTGTGTGTGTGTGTGTGTGTGTGTGTGGGTGGGTGGGTCTGTGTGTGGGAGTGTGTGTGTGTGTGTGTGTGGAGTGAGTGAGGATAACACTGACTGGTGTCATTAGGCTACAGCAGGGTCCCGTGGTAGCTGTATGATGTCTAAAGTAACTAACTGTGCTGATGTGATGCATCTTCATGCTCTTATCCAATTTGTTGGTTCATGAACCAACCTGCTAGGGACGGACATCACAACTTAGCTATAAAAGTTTGCTAAATGCATCTAAGCCTCATACACATGAACAAGTGAACTACTGGGTGATGGTTGGTGGTCACGTCTGATGGTTGTGTTTTTCCTCATGCTGCTATTGTTCCCGTTTACACTGAATCCTCCATGTGCAATAGCATCATCACCATGCCGACCATACGGTCGAATCAGTGCAACCAGTGTTTTTAATGCAGATCTTTTGTATCATTTAGCAACTTTCCGTTGTTCCTGAGGAACTAACATGACATCGGTACTAACCGAGCTCCCTTGCTCGATTACCAGATCTTTTCTGTTCGGATTCTGGTTTCAAGCTGAGCCACCAACCCCAACCTGCATAACGACAATAAAGAACTCTTATCTTATCTATAGAACGTCATTACAAGAACTTTTCGTTGTCGTTGTCTTCCTCCACTTATCCGGGTCGCAGGGGCAGCACCCCAACTAGGGAGCTCCAGACCGTCCTCTCCCCGGCCTTCTCCACCAGCTCCTCCGGCAGGACCCCAAGGCGTTCCTGGACCAGATTGGAGATGTAACCTCTCCAACGTGTCCTGGGTCGACCCGGGGGCCTCCTGCCGGCAGGACATGCCCGAAACACCTCCCCAGGGAGGCGTCCAGGAGGCATCCTGACCAGATGCCCAAACCACCTCAACTGACTCCTTTCGATCCGGAGGAGCAGCGGTTCTACTCAGAGTCCCTCCCGAATGTCCAAGCTCCTCACCCTATCTCTAAGGCTGAGCCCGGCCACCCTACGGAGGAAACTCATTTCGGCCGCTTGTATCCGCGATCTCGTTCTTTCGGTCATTACCCAAAGCTCATGACCATAGGTGAGGATTGGGACGTACATCGACCGGTAAATGGAGAGCCTGGCTTTCTGGCTCAGCTCCCTCTTCACCACGACAGATCGGCTCAGCGTCCGCATCACTGCAGACGCTGAACCAATCCGCCTGTCGATCTCCTAATCCCTCCTACCCTCCCTCGTGAACAAGACCCCGAGATACTTCAACTCCTCCACTTGAGGTAGGGCCTCTCCCCCGACCCGGAGTTGGCAAGCCACCCTTTTCCGGTCGAGAACCATGGTCTCAGATTTGTAGGTGCTGATCCTCACAAGAACTTTTAATGTTCAAGTACTGTTATGGTACGACTCTTTTTCCAAACAATGGTTCTCAAAGTGAATAAAGATGAAGACGTTTAAATAAAAATGTCTGAAATGACTGATGCACATCATCAGGGAAATGAAATCTGAAATGTGCTCATGTACCACTAGAGGTACTCGTGCCCCCGCTTTAGAATCTGCTCTTGACCATGGAGGCTGCTGTGGTCCAGAAGCAGCCAGCCTAGCACATCAGGGTGAGATCTACCCTTACCAGGTCTACCAGCGTCCATGGACATAGATCAGTACCATTGCCTGGAGAACAGCAGTGGTCCAAACATCCACTGAAGATTGATGAGTGCTTACTTCACACACAAACATGAGTAGGATTAGGAATAACACTGGTATTAGGGAAAAACCCTGACCCAGTCCTGGCCCTGGAGGACAGGTCTCCAGCATGTTTAGTTGGTACTCACCTGATTCTAATCAGCAGGTGATTAACAGGCTCTGCTGAACAGGTGTGCTGGAGCAGAGAAAGCACACAAGCATGCTGAGAGTGGCCCTCCAGGGCCAGGCCTGACAACCCCTGGTCTAGAGGACGTCCCTCAGTTCAAGCACCTACGTTAGTTTCTGCTGCAACACACCAAGTTTGTGTTCTGACTCACCATGTTGGATCAAGACCTCTCACCTGTCAACAGGTAAGACACTCACTATAACAGAAAACGTCCCATGTCCACACCGATTAACAGTCACAGTAAAGACAACTTCAGAATAAATAGACTTTAATGAACTGTCTGTGGTCCCCGCAGCAGTAGAACCTCCATAGAACCCAAACTCTTGGTGGTTTAGCGACACATCAACTGTGACTGAACTCAGGCTTTTCTGCAGATGACATCTAAAAGCACATGTGAGTGTGGCTCTATCTAGTAACACACGGATGCATGATGAAAATCAATGAACCAGTACTGAAGAAAATTTAATTTATACCAATAAATAATGCCAGGTCCAGACCCATCAGAACAGACCAGAACACTCAGAGCAGCAGCTCTGACGCCTCATTGTTGAACTTTAAGGAATAGCCAACTGCTGTTTCCAGACACTCCACCAGGGAGCCTGCTGAGAGGAAATCCAGCTCCACCTCAATGAACTTGATGTAAATAGCAAAATGTTGTGGCGAGACCCGGCTGCTCTCACTGTCCTGACCTGATCCAGCCCCACGGCAGTTCTCCTGCAGGAAACGGGTCACACCAGAAGGCTCCCCACGAACAAAGTGTTTCCCAGATCCCTGAAAGTGCTGGAAGAGACTCTGCTGGATGGTTCTGTCCTCAGCTATGCCCAGATAGCAGTAGGTAACCGCTGTCCCGGTTCTGGAACCCGGGCCCACGGCCCCATCAAGCTTCTCGGACCCGTTTTCGGTCTCGCTATGATGTAAGCTGTCCTCTCCTTCAGCCGGGGAACAGGTCTGAGTGGGAGCGCTACAGGCCAACAATGTCTCATAACCAATAGAGTACAGACCGTGAGTCCTAGGGATGTCCCCTGGGAGGAGGTAGTGGGAGGAGGACCTGCTGCTGCCCGTCACCCGGGACTGACACACGGGGACCCAGTCCACCTCCAAGTGAAGTTCCAAGCAGCGTGCCTCACTGATTGTGATGTCCAAAAACTTGTAGTAAACATCCTTCCAGTTCATCTTCTGAACTTTGGTCAGGATGACTCGGCCCTCTGGCTTTTCTGGGTTGAAATACTCTCGAAGTCTTTTGCCCAGAGGGACCTGGGAGCTGATTTCTGCGTAGTGGTACCGTACGTCCTCTCGCCAGCGCGTGTTGTAGCCTACGCCGAAGATGGCCAGTTTGTTGGACAGGTGCAGCCGCGAGAACTCGGTCCACGTCTGAAAGCGCTCCCATTTTAACTGCACTGACTCCAGGATACGAATCACGGTCTGCAGTGTATCCCTCCTCCTGCAAACACAGTGACACACCAGGACTCGTGGATCAAAATGTTCCACATGCGGAGTTAACTCACATCCTAAACTAATCCCAGCCGGCAGGAGAATCTGAGAAGTTCTCCCTGTAGCCTGACCGGCTGTTCGAGACTTCAGAACGAGTTTGTTATGGGATTGTGAAACAAGCTTGGGATATTTCTGAACAAGATTCAACCCTAACCCTGGTCCTCAGGGCACACTGACCTGCATGTTTTCCATGTCTCTGCATCTGCACACCTGTTTGACATTGCATCTGCATGCAGGAAAGTGGGCCTTGAGGACCAGAGTTGAGGAACACAGAACTAGATGATACCTAAATCTCACTTATCAGAACTGTTAAAAAGAATACCGCTTTGGCGACACCCGGTGGTAGTACAGGACCCTTAAAGTATCTAACTTCACATGAAAAAGAAGTGCTGTAATAATAATAATGATGTGTTTCACATAGACTTCACAAACACCTGCAGATATCTGTCTCTGAGAGCCTGTCTCACTTCTCCTTCGTACCACAGAACTCTTTCATCCAATGCTTTCCAGCTCTCTAATGGGTCTTTTCCATTATTACCATCTAAGCATGGCTCGGCCCAACTGGCCATCTGCTTTAACTCTGCAGTCAGAGACGTGAGGGTTGCAGACTTCTCCAACTGGTGTCCCAGACCAAAGGGATTCCCAAATAGTTATCAGCATTATTAGGCGCACTCGGACTGTAGGAACCACATGGAATGCCTTTAACCTTTTCAGGAACCAGCTCCCTTTTGCGCGCGTTTGGACAGATAGAAACTAGGAACCTTTTCCCATAGTTCCTAGAACCATTTTAGCTCCTACTCTGAGGCTGGGACTTCCCGTTGTTCCTGAGGAACTAACGTGACATTGGTGCTAACTGAGCTCCCTTGCTTGATTAACAGATCTTTTCTGTTCGGATTCTGGTTTGTTTGTTTATTTAGAAACAGACTGGACTGCATCCTGGATACTCCTGCTGCCACCAACACACCTGGCCGAGATCCAACAGGTAAACCGTCTTAATGCATGTACACGTTTCGTCTCTTCTCTTGATAACGTAAGTTTGCAAAAGGAAATTGTCCATTTTGGGATTAAATCTCTGAGCTAAAGCCGCCGATAGCGAGCATATGTTTGTAGCAGGCATGTTTTTAATAAATGACTTTCAGAGTCAGAAGTCTTCTTTGTGTCAGAGTGATGTCCGCTACATGTAGTTTGTTCACTAAATATGAACTATTAGCTCACATTAAGCCTTTCTTATCCTCAGGTGTGTAATCTACTCCAGTTACTCAGGTGTGTAATCTACTCCGTTTACTCAGGTGTGTAATCTACTCCATTTACTCAGGTGTGTAATCTACTTCAGTTACTCAGGTGTGTAATCTACTCCGTTTACTCAGGTGTGTAATCTACTCCAGTTACTCAGGTGTGTAATCTACTCCGTTTACTCAGGTGTGTAATCCACTCCAGTTACTCAGGTGTGTAATCTACTCCAGTTACTCAGGTGTGTAATCTACTCCAGTTACTCAGGTGTGTAATCTACTCCAGTTACTCAGGTGTGTAATCTACTCCGTTTACTCAGGTGTGTAATCTACTCCAGTTACCTAGGTGTGTAATCTACTCCAGTTACTCAGAGCTGCACATGTTACACACCTGCTTAGACTCTATCAAAACCTGGATGGTGGGAGCTTTCTTCAGCTGAATGAAGATAAGACTGAGATCCTCATCTGTGCCCCAGACAAGCTGGTTCCCAAAGTCAGAGACTCTCTTGGTCAGCTTGCTTCCCACACCAAACTTAGGAAGAGTGAGGCTCCCTATACAAATTGGAAAATCCTGCTTTGACAATAACAAAGAATCCTCAAATGTGACTCAGTTTCTGGTGGAATCAAGTGGTCCTCAGTCAAAGAAAGGAAATTCTTTCATTAATTTCTTCAATGCTAAAATGTAAAACTTTACTTAGTTATTTTTTCCAGGTAGACTTACTGGGTTTGTTGAGACAGTTCTGCTTGGATCTGTAAAACTTGGTCTTTAGGTATTGGGATTTCCTCTAGATGAAAAGAGAAACAAAAATTAGTTCAGATTATAATCTTGTGTCATTGATAACTTTGCTCCCTAACAGAACTCACCAGTGTCCATGTCTCCTTCCTGGAAAGCTGAGTCCAGCACCTGGTTGCACCAGTCTTCCTGGGAGAAGTCTTCCAGTGTGCTGCCATCTGACTCCATCTCCTGATACAGCCCACTGCTGTTGATCAGAACCGGGGCGCAGCTCGGAGGGTCCCAGCCTCCCTGGCCAAAGACCTTCTCCAGCTGCTCTAATGTGTAGCTGCTCTTCCTCTTTCCGATGCCATGCTCCTTCACACGGCTGTAGCAGCGCCTCAGCGTCTGAAGGACAACAGATGAGGGTTTACCAACTGTGATCACATGATTCTAAAACTCAGTGAGAACACACCTGGGGGGCTCTGAAGTTTGCATACACTGCCTGGCCAAATAAAGTCTCCACCTGGATTTAACTAAGCAGACAGGCAGGAGCCTCCTAGTGGACAATGACTGCATGACCGATGATCTTTCATCTAAAACAAGTTATTTAACCCAACTGGTGCAATGAGCTGCTTCTCCCACGTGGAAAGACACATGTGGCGGTGGTGGAAAAGATGCTAGTGTATATGTTTATGTTCATTCATTTAGCAGACGCTTTAATCCAATGCGACTTACAATTTATAACCTATAGGGCATGTTGTGATCTGTGGGGGAAACTGCAGTACCCGGAGGAAACCCACGCATGCATGGAGAGAACACGCAACCACGCAGAAAGGCCGCAGCAGAGTTTCGAACCTGCAACCTTCGTGCTGCGAGGCACCAATGCTAATAACTACGCCACCATGCATAGTGTGTGTGAGAAGGGTCAGATCGTTGGCATCAAACAGAGAAAACATCTAAGGAGATGCAGAAATGACTACAACTGGGTCAAGAACTGTCCAACGCTTCATTAGAACTGGAAGGATAGTGGGGACCCATCGCCTTGAGGAATAAAGGTGGTTGGAAAATAACCCTGAATCCTTTTATCTGCACACTGTATTTGGGATAATGTGTCACACATCTGGCCATGGATTCATTTTAGTCCCTTAACCAGCAGGAGGCACAAACGCAAGCCTGATTGGTTACGTTTGCTAAAAGGAAAGAATATATAGTCTAGGCTGTTCTTTAGATGTTCATCAGACCCATGGGGAAACACGATTTGATGATGTGTAGTATTACCATGATTTCAGCTGCATGTGTTTAGTTTGCCTGGGTAATTAAAGTTGAGTTAATATAGATAGTAAATGCATTACCATTGTGAACATGTTATTGAGAGGATAAACTGTGAACAGCTCCTGCTTAGAGAACAGCACCCGTAAAGGCTGCGCCCACCTTCGCACTCACCTTGACTGACCAGCTGTGTTGGTTGATGACACAGTCGAGTGTGTGAGCAAACTGAAACCAGTGTGGGCAGGTTCCGACATACAGGAATACTTGTGTGTTTTTCTATAAAACTTTGTCTGCTTTAGATTGCTTCCTGAACAGCTTCTGTTTAGAGAAACAGGGTTTAAGTCTAAGAAGATTGTTGGGCTAAAGGCTAGAAACTCTAATGTTGTTTTGGTTTTTCTATTGGAGCTTCGGTCCATTCAGGTGAGCGTCCCACAGACGGGGAGGAGGGCAATGCTGTTCGCCTCCGGGATTATTGGCTGCGACTACACGACGTATGCAGACCAACGAGATGTAATGGTTACATGGAAATAGAAATTATTCTGTAAGGACTCAATCCTGGATTACTACTTCACAGACAAGCCTGTCCCTGGAAGGACCTAGATAACCTTTACACAATGTTTTCTGTATTTTTGAAGCTCATCAGGCGGTGCTGCAGCTAGGCCAGGATCCTACCAACAACTGCTCAGACAGCCAACGTATTGTTCGTGTCATGATCCGCAAGAGGCGCGTCAACAAACCCACACTGAGCGCAGATTACAGAAATTACAAAAGTACCATCCAGATAGGGCTGCAACAAACGATTATTTGGATAATCGATTAATCGGATGGGGTCTCGACACGATTAATCGATTAATCGGATTACATGGGGAAATTTTTAAAAACTGCTAGGGAAACGTTATTTCTCTCCTTCCTTCACTTTATTTAACACAACATTATTAGAAAACAGTTCAATAGCAGAAAAACAACATGCCATCACCTAAATTGTCTTATAAGGTGTATAGACAGAGACCCTAAGCTACATCTATCTGTGACCTAAAATGCTTGGTCCAAGTTAAACAGCTTAAGGGCAATTCTCATCTGTTTTGTTTGATCTCATCTGTTGACATTTATTTTAAATGTAATTAAACATAGGCTGTGAATTAATCAAAATTGATCACTATTTCCAAAAATGACTGAAAAAATACCAAATAAAACAAAAGTAAATGAATGCCATCCTCCTTGCGATGATGCCCTGGGCAACTGCCATAAAGTCACATCAAGAAATGCTGCTGATCATTCCAATGATCCCAAATAGACTCACATTAGGCCACATGAAAGCAACTGAACCCAAAAATATATTAACCAGTATATAACTGCACTCTCACACAACACGCCTGCAGCAACAGTTAGGACTCCTCCCTCCCTTTTAAAAGCGTTTTTGCTTCTGAGGACATTGTGGTTGTAAAACCACATGCTAGTAGTCTGGCCCCGGTGTGATCAACCAGTTTCTGCTGGAATGTGACGGCGGAACCAGGGCCAGATTAACACTTTGTTGTACCCTGGGCAACAATATTCAAGGGCTCCATCATCACAACCCAAGGATCACCATAATGTGGTCACATACAGAATATTTTACTGTAATATGCAGTAAATATACTCAATACTTGAATGCCTGACAACACGTAACCCGCCCAGAGTAACCTTTGACCCACCTTGTGTGGACTGACCAATGAGTGGACTGACCAATGAGGAGAGGGTCTTAACTTGAGGCCCTCTCTTCATTGGTCAGTCTGCATGAGACTGACTCTCAACTGACGTTCAGTCGTAGGCAGCGAAGCGTCTCTGTGCAGTGCAAAAGCCCGGGTGGACAGTTTGTTTAATGTAGGGTGATCATATTTCCATTTCCAAACAAGAGGACAGGGGATCTGTGCCTATGACGTCACACTATGGCAACGCCACACAAACCATGTTGGGACCCATTTTTTGTAAGAACTAAATTAATATCAGATTCTGCCAATTAAAGGGCTCTAAAACAATTCATATGTAAATATTTTGCATATTTAATGCAAAATCTAATTTTTCTGCTTTAGTGCTGCAACAAGGTTTTATTAATAATAAATTATTATACCTTTTGTATTACTACAGCATTGGTAAGCTTCCTGTGCACAGATTATTAAGGATGCTTGTTTCAGCTGTGAGATTAGACGATAGGATCAATGAAAAAATAAGTTGTCCCACACTCCATATAAACTTTCAGAGAATCCACAAATAGTGGCTTTCAAATGGTTTTGTTACTTTTTGCAAGTTTAGAAAAGCAGCAGATGAGACAGCATGTCTGATAATTTAGTTTTTCATCTGATAATATTAGAACATGTCAGTAATGTCTGAGGGGATTTTATAAACACCATATAACTAACACTACTGGAGAGGGTATGGATTACACAGAGGCTTCTGGGGAGCCCAGTTATTTGGGGGGGGGGGGGGGGGGGGGGCATTTTGCCTTGGCCCCCAAAATGTCTTGAAACGGCCCTGGGTGTGTGACTGAGTTTTGAAGGTGATCTGAATTGTATCAGATGTATAAATATGACATGTGTAGAACTTATTGTTTTTTACTGGTAAAAACGTGTAGTGGAGATAAATCTACCTACATTTTACTTTTCAACACTTTGTTTTGTTTTCTTGTTTTTATTTAACTATTTTCCTGTCCTGTCTGTCTCTCATCTTCCTGCATCTCCTCTTAATTCTCCAGAAAATCTGTTGCCTGGATTCTTACCTTTTCACCTCATCAGTTACTTTTGAGCAGATCAAAGGGATCTCCTGACCGAAAAGCGCAGAGCGCGTTTTCGATGCTGCGTCAGTGAGGTGACATCACCACAGCACAGGTGATGAGCTCCGCAGTAGCGAGCTTCAGGCACAAATAAGACAGAAAATAGAGAACATGTGCGGACATGAACGATCGTGTGCTAATTATAGTTTTTTGGTTGCGCCACTTTGAGAATGGACCGTGCGCTGGAAGCAGCTGCCTGGATCGCTGTGCAACAATGCGGAACCGGTTCGCAGCAGCGCAAGTCTGCCGGCTCTCCCTCGCGCTGATCTGCTGGTACCGGCTCTCCCTCACGCTGATCTGCGGCTCTCCCTCGCGCTGATCTGCCGGTACCGGCTCTCCCTCGCGCTGATCTGCGGCTCTCCCTCGCGCTGATCTGCGGCTCTCCCTTGCGCTGATCTGCGGCTCTCCCTCGCGCTGATCTGCCGGTACCGGCTCTCCCTCGCGCTGATCTGCGGCTCTCCCTCGCGCTGATCTGCAGCTCTCCCTCGCGCTGATCTGACTTGCTCTGGTCTGCGCGCAACGGCGGGCGGGAAGGGGGGGGGGGGGCGCTTTTGGAAGAGTTGTGCGACACAACGAATCGATGACGCAATTCGTTGCCAACGCTTTTAGTAATCGATTTTCATCGAATTTATCGATTCGTTGTTGCAGCCCTACAACCAGAACAAACTGTCTGAATTACTAGAGTGTCTATCAGCTTTCACCAGCTGGCTAGAAGATGGATTCCTTCAGTTAAACTCTGAAAACACTGAATGTCTGACCATTGCCCCAGAGAGCATGGTTCCCCTGATTAGTCTAAGACTTGCTCATTTATCTTCTGCCGTCAAGACAAACTTAAGAAATTTGGGTGTTTTTGACCAATCGATGTCTCTTGAAGGCCACTCATTTGGTCGGAGGGACCGGTGGCGCCTGTGCTTGGCAGCCTCGCCTCTGTCAGTGCGCCCCAGGGCAGCTGCGGCTACTTCGTAGCTCATCACCGTCAGTGTGTGAATGTAAGAATGATACACACTAGTGTAAAGCGCTTTGGAGTCCTTACTCTGAGAGGGGCTACACAAGTGCGGGTCGTTTATCATTTATCATTGGTCTGAAACTGTTTTTATCACTTAAGAAATATCTCCAAACTGTGAAGGTTGGTGTCAAAATATTAACTTGAAATGGTTCTCCATGCCTTTATCTCCTCCCGTCTAGATTACTGTAACACACTTTTCACATGTTTTAACAAAAAAGCCCTAGACCGCCTTCAGTTGGTCCAGAACTCTGCAGCGAGACTCCTAACTGGAGCAAACAGAAGAGCTCACATCACTCCTATTCTGACGTATCTGCACTGGTTACCCGTTAACTTTAGAGTTCATTTTAGAGTCCTGACTAGAACTTTTGGGGCTCTACATGAGCTGAGCTCAGCTCAACTCAGAAGTAACACAGCATAAATGACCTCACTTGTGACTGTGCTTTCAGAAAAACAAGATGTGTGCATCTGCTGTTGTTGAAAGAGGCTTTTCATGCCATCTATGCCTACTCAATTGTAAACCTAAAAGGTTTTTCATGAAGGTAATTTTGTTATGCGGAGTGCATCATTCCCGTCTGCTGCCAGACCCACGCACTCCCATGTTTAAAGTTAAAGTCCCATTAGCAGACTTGAGAATCTCCCACCTATCAGCGAAATCTGCCGCTTTGAATCCAGAGTGGGTCATCTACGTGATTCAGATCCAGGTGTAGGAGACTTGTTTCATGTTAAGTCGGCATGAAACACTCAGGGTGACCCATTAGAATCAGGAATATTCATTAAAAATGTTGGACTCAGCTTTAAAAGTCACAGATTTACTAACTGGAGATGTTTTGTCTCCAAGTCTCTCCTTGGTCAGACTACGTATCGAAGTGTGTTTTTACAGAGTGGTCAACATCATGATCTATGTTCTAGAGCTGCCTCCACAGGCTGATCTCTAGAATCAGAACAGGATAATCTAGAGCTGCATCCACAGGCTGATCTCTAGAATCAGAACAGGATGATCTAGAGCTACATCCACAGGATGATCTAGAGCTGCCTCCACAGGCTGATCTAGATCTGCCCTCCACAGACTGATCTCTAGAATCAGAACAGGATGATCTAGAGCTGCCTCCGCTGGCTGATCTCTAGAATCAGGTTTGGGTAAAAGAGCTTTTCCTTTACTCCATTTTAAATGAAGACTTGATTCTATTCATTTTGACCTAGAGCATACTGCCATCCCACACCAGCTGGGCCACTCACCTGTGCTCCACACTCCGCACTGAAACACGAGGGTCTGGTTTCAGCCACCAGGTGAACATCTTTGATCAGAAACATACATTAGAAGCTGAACATGTTTGGGTTCAGACCCCATCCCTAAGCCATCCATCAACAGCCTGGTTAGGGGCTAACGTCACAGACTGACACAAAGTCAAAGGTCATCTCCAACCTGTCACCCACAGAAAACAAACATGACCTGTGAACGGACGAATGAATCCAAAATGAAGCTAGCTTGTCTGGAACCCTGAAGCCAGACTGCGGTTATGATCCAGACAGATCCTGGACGCTCTAACATGGTCCAAGCTTCTGATGATGACCGGGTCCGCCCTCCTCCTTACCTTCATCCTCTCCCTGCACTGGGACGGAGTCCTCTCGTAGCCTAGCTCCGACAGCGCTCTGGACACGCGTTCGTACATGGCGGGACCGGGGGCCTTACCGGAGAACACGGTCCCAGCCACCTCCAGCTGCTGCATCCTGGCCTCCGTCAGCCTCTCGTTGCCCCAGACCGCAATGAGAGCGTTAGTCTCGGACGGCGTCCATGACATCCCTCGGCAGGCGGTGAAGCTGTTTGAGGAAGAGGAGGCCGCCGTCCGGGACGTGAGCCCAGAGCCTGCATTCAGAGGCGAGGGGTCGGACTGGTACTGGTTACTTTCACTTAAATCCTCCGACTCGGGGGATGGCACCTCGTTTTTCGGTATTTTTAGAGGTCCCGTTATCTCTGCAGAGGGCTCAGCGGTACTGGACGCCGCCATGTTGCCTCTGTTGCTAAGGTGAGGGGGGCGGAGCGTACGTCAGGGGGAGGAGCCTGAGCTGTCTGTAAGGCATTAGTCACCCACCTTCATTAAATGGCTATGATATGTGGAACCGAGTTACATTAGATGCTTCATAATAACTCAGAATGTGTTCTGACCAGCAACCCCAACCCCCCCTGATGTCTTCTTCATTGGTATTATTGTTGATAAGCCCTCTGCACATGTTCTCATCAAACAATTCTAGTTTATTTATAAAATCTAGTAAGGCAATTTCTCTTCAATAGCATTATTATTGTGATTTTTTGAGTGAATGAATAGATCAGGACTGACTTTAATTTGATTGTACAAAATACATGCTCTCTCCCTCTTTCTGGAAATATTTATGATTTTTTTTATCTGTAAAAGTCTAACTGTGTTGGGAATAGGTCACATTATTTATTTATTTATTCATTTGTAATAAGCCAACCCCTGTAGAACTGACGTGTGTGTGTGTGTGTGTGTGTGTGTGTGTGTGTGTGTGTGTGTGTGTGTGTGTGTGTGTGTGTGTGTGTGTGTGTGTGTGTGTAGCATCCAGAAAGGGTCAATTTTCATCTACATGTTGACCTACACAATGACCGACCATCTACAGAAAAATTTCCATGTTTTAGGGGGATTTTAAATTCTGTCGTCTAAAGCCCAGAAGTTTCTGCAGTGCTTGTTGACATGTCAGGAGGACAAGATTGCCAGCCTGTGTTCCGAAACAAGCTTTCTCATAAGACTGCAGGATTGCACACTCTGAATAAAAAGTGAACTTTTACAGCTCATAATCATTAAATAGTTATACGGTTGAATGAAGAAATGTTATATGAGTAATAATATTAATGTTTGGATACTCTATGCCTAATTCAGTGAAGTGAAACAAATTTTATTATTACTTTGAAAGATTTATATGTTATGATCAGTAATGTATGATTTAACAAGTGAATCATTATCTACACTCATACACAATGTTCATAAGATATAAATTACGGTTAAGGTCACATATCACAGAGGTATAAAGATTCTTTATCCACAGAACAATAACATTTTGCATCTGGAAGGTGTAGTTTCTGCGGGATGTTTGGTAAACGTCAACAAACATGTAAAATTCTGATTCGCCAGAGCAATAACATGGTGGATCATTAAAACTAGAGTGACTGCCGAATTACTCAGTTAAGTTCAGTTTGAGCAGAACTTTGGATTGGCCAATCCGGAGGAAACTCTTTGAACAATCAAAGCTTTTGACAAGCCGTCAAAGCCCGCCTGCAGCTGACACAGCAAATGGCTCCTTCAGAGCACAGCTAATCTAGATGCATGATACCTGTTGTGACCTCGAGACAACTCGAGACCGGTCAAGTGGTACGGCGGTTATTCTGCAAACTTTGGTGCCTTGGGGGTCCACACGACTTCCTGACATTCCGGATCTGCAACGGGGGTCTCCAATCAAGGTTTGTAGACACAACAGATTGCGTCTGATGTTGTTCTATAAATCATCAACTCTCTAGTTTATAGCAGACCAAATTCTTTTACACCCAGAACTCACAGTTTCTTCCAGATACAAAGGTTCTGACACATCACATTCCATCAACACATATACATCCATCACACATCGTTATTAATAACTTGCTGTGTGTTATAATTAGTATAGAAAATAAAGTTTATTTTTAATTATATACTTGACTCTGTCTAAGTTAATACGAAGTGTGTTTATGGTCACTGAACAAGTAAAGAATCTTAAATTCTTCTGGTTAAACATTCAAAGATCAATCAGGTTGATGTGCGTAGTCCGAGTCAGTGCAAATCACCAGCTCACGGACACCACGGTCCACAAGGTGTAGTACTATCAAGATCCCAGCCACTTCTGCCGACTGTGAGGTCTTAGGACCCAACCAGTAACATCGGGAGTCCTTTTGGTCAGCGTTCAACCAGACGACACCCACGCCTGCCCTAGGCGCAGCACCGTGTCAAAAAGAACTGTCATCGACGTACACGGTCGGCAAGTCCACACAGAGACTGATCAAAGTAGTGGTGGTTGGGGTTTTGAAGAGTCTGAGGAGGGCTAGCTGGCGGGACTGACATGACAACGTCGTCCGAGCAGTGTTGGCACGCAGCCAAACCCATGCCAAGAGGGCTACGGCGGTTCTGGGCGTAGCATACTTCGATGTCGAAGCTTTGAAGAGCCAGCAGCCATGACGCGATTCGCGCATTGGTCACCACACCATCTCTGATGCGCTGACTGTTAAGGAAGGTCACTGGCTGGTACTGAGTCTCAATGATGACTTTCTGTCCACCGATGTAGCTAGAAAAGTGTTTCACCGCCCACATGGTGGAAAGCAAAGCTTTTTCACAGCCAGAGTACTTCAACTCAGGACCGGAAAAGAGCTTACTAGCATAGGCTACGACACGCCTGTCGCAGTCATATACTTGGTAGAGACCGTCCCACAAACAATGAGATGAGAAACCGACCTAAAGGTGGAACTCCTTGTCACAATCGAGGAGCGCCAAGCACGGAGCTGAGCATAACGCGGCCTTCAGGTCATCCATGGCCTGTTGCTGCTGTTCAGTCCACTCGAAAGGCACATCCTTCTTCAGTAGATTAGTCAGAGTTCTTGCTATCTTGACAGCATGAAAAAATCCATTCTTTTTGCTAGAAAATCCAATAGCTTGAGGTGAAATCAAAATGGCTGCGATATGACATCACCTTAAATGTAGAGAGATGAATCAGTGTCTCCTTGTGGGAGGTGAACAGTGTTACCCCCCTTTTGACTTTAAATGGAGATGCTGCACTCTAGTGGCGCATTACGAGACATCCCGTTTTCAACCAGAAACATCAGTTTTAGTGTTTTACTGTTTAAAAATGTCTCAGAATGAGCATGAAGGGTTTATAATGTACAAATATCAGGCTATGGCTCGCCATTCTGTAATGATTTAAATTACATGTTATTTAATAAGCCATAAGGCGCAGGATTCCATAGTAAGTATGAAATCCACCTTATGGATCTGTGAGGTTATTTTAAAACATAAGATTGGAACTTTTTAATGCAGGGATTAGATAACAGCTTCGTATTCACTCATAGACAACAGGAGAGAGAGAGTCAAGTTTAAAAGTTAAAATTTTTTATTACTAAACAAATTAAACTAGACTAACTTTAAACACTAAATGTATGGTGTAACTAAGGTGGATGAGACGGTGAATGGGGTGGTGTAATATTGCTCAGAACCAGCAAATCCAAAGAAGGGATTATTTCTGATGGGAACTGAAGGTGATGTCTTCGCGTTAAGCTTTAGTTAGGAGATTCATTAACACATTCGACGCCATTTGTCGGTCTCCATACCTTGAGCGGAAGTCCCCGTCTAGATCAGGAGGGGTAAAGGTCCAGCTTGACCTTTAAGGAGCAGGAGCCGGTAGAAGCAGCCACGGCAGCCGACCACCCGTCTTGAGATACTTCCGGGTCACGACAATTTGTTGACGTCTAGCGAGACCCAAGCCTGGGTCTTGATGGTTCAGCTTTTATTCTGAAAGGAACCGTTGCAGCAGTTGGAACAGCAAACAGATTTTATCCAGCTTGTCATTTGTTCTTTTGGTTGAAGAGGAAAGTTACGGATTGGCCACTCCAACAACTTCTCTAGAACGCTTTGAACTGGTGTTAGAGATGACGTGGCATAGTTTTGTACTTTGGATGTTTTGGTTTAAGGTCGAATGAAAAGTTGACAGACTTACCAAACACCATCAAAACCACGCCTCCGTCAGATCTGGCAGATTCTGATTGGATCTGTGAAAGCAATGTGTCATGTCTTTTAACGCTACGTGAAGTCAGTCCTAGTGGAACATTTAAAGTCATACAACTTTTATATTCTATAGGATTATAATAAAGTAATTAATATTTTGATTTCACAGATTGGTCACATCTTATTTATTGACTAACACTTTGTTTGATTAGCTTTATTAAAAATAGAGTTCGTTGATTTAATAAAAGAAAAGAGTCCATTCTTCATTCTTCTTTTGAGCTGGAAAGAAGCATTTTAGAAGCAAGTGCATGAGACCTTGAGGGCATATCTCATGCAGACTGGTTCTATGTCAGAGGAGAGGGGAAACGGTCATTTCATTCCGTTACAGTATTGAAAAGCAACCCTGTGTTTGGATGAATCTAAGGTGAAGTGTGTTTTGTTTGCGGGTAAAGCAATGTCTCAGAACGTGTATCTGGAAAGAGAGGACGCATTCTGGGTGAAAAAGCATTTGGTTTGCTAATAAGCTAAGTTGTTCTTAATAAAAGAGCATTCAGACGCAATCTGTGTTCTACCTCACCGTCAAGGCGACCCTCGTCGTGGATCCGGAGGTCAGAGGAAGATGTTAAACAGCCTCAGGGTACTGGGTCCAGTAGGGAGGACCGATGGTACCAACTTCTCCGGTCCTAGAGATGCCGCAGGCACACAGGTGGAATTGGTTTGCGTCTGCAGATTCTTAAAGAATCTCGTAGCATCAGCTTGTTCTGCAGGTGTCGTTTTGTTGTGTCGGAGGAACTCTGCCAGTCCAACTGACTCAGTGGCCTAGTGGTAGAGTGTCCGCCCTGAGATCAGGAGATCAGGGGTTCGACTCCTGGTCGGGTCATACCAAAGACTTTGAGAAAAATGGGACCCAATGCCTCCCTGCTTGACACTCAGCATTAAGGGGTTGGATTGGGGGGTTAAACCACCAAATAGTTCCCGAGCGCGGCTTGTCTGCAGCTTACCGCTCCCCCAGGGGATGGGTCAAATGCGGAGAATAAATTTCACCACACACCTGTGTGTGTGTGTGACGATTAGATGGGACTTTAATCTTTAATCTTTTAATCTTTAGTGTGACAGAAATCGCTTTGTTGGTTAAAGAGCGTTGGGCGGCCATCCCAACTTCTCTAGAACTCACTCGCAAATGACGAGAGTTCTGTTTTAAAAGATGGCCATTATCATTTCTAACGAATCAGGTTTTGACATGTAGAAGGAAGATTTAACAAACCCTCAGAAACACGCCTCCTGAAGATAGAAAGTTCTGGTGTTATGGGAAAAGATCATGTGAGTGCAAGTTACCTTTAACTTAGTTACTGTGACCTGTGTGAGCTAAGTGCACATCATTCTTGTCATAGTTACACAT